GATCTCAGTCCTAAAGGAAATAAATAAATTAGAGGTCAGTGATAGCATCTGGCTCGCTCTGTGCACGTTTGAGATTAGCACTCTTTCCAGTGGGGTGATGGCCCAAATAGGAGGAACAAACAGGACACATCTGTAGGTATGCAAATGTAACTCACGGGGGAATACATTTTTACTTTTTCAAATCTTATGCATGAACAACTGTTGCTCCATAGTGAATTTAAACTTTTCCAAGTCTTTTTCTTTCTGTAATGAGCAGAAGATGAAACTGTTTTTACTGAAAATAAAAAACAATGTGTGCAAATGAGGAAGGAAGTGGATTAAATCTGGGAACCACGTGTTTACTCTGGATAAAAAGGTAGGTCTTGGTTTGCAAAAAAGAGACACATGACATAGCTGGCATAGTTAAAAATTGTATTATGAGATATAAAAACCTGTGGTTTTGTTTATGTTTTAGGTTTTTTATGGAGTAAAACCTTTGCAAAATGTCTTTACTAAATACCATGCCATGCCATGGGGGTTTCCACTACCTCTATAAACACTCCAAACATGAAAAAAATCCCATCCACCGGTTTTTCTGTCAGTGCTTGGTTTTAGGAATCATGTGCCGAAAACAAGCTGTTTCAAACCATCCTCATTTGTGATGTCACAAATGGGGAAATTAAAATAGAATCGCCTCTCATGTGCAAGAAGAGGCGCTATTGGAGCAGCGGCTCTACTCCCAGCCCCTCCTGGATATTTAAATTTCTCAGGTTATTGGCGGTGGTGGGCACCAACACCAGGAGGATTGAACGAAGGGTAAAAGTTACGACTGAGGTTGTTTTTTGCCAGCTCCGAATGGGTTTACATTAGAGCTGAAACAACTAATCGATTTAATCGATTATAATCGATTATTAAAATAGTTAACAACTTTTTTAGTCATCGATTAGTTGTTTAATAATCATATTTTACCGCATAAAGTCTATTTTTTACCACAATCTGACATCGGTTACAATCTGTTAAATTTGCCGCCAGTGTGTGGCAGTAATGAGCCACTGATCTACCAGTGGGGCCGTAGAAGAAGAAATTAGCCAATAAGTGCCCTCGGTTTTCATGACGTATCACGTTACTGACGCTCATCTTGCTGTGAGAGATGGCGGAACAAGAAGAAATACGGAAGAAAAATAGAAGCGACAAAACAAGAGAAACCCCGGACAAAAACCTCACGAGTATGGGAGCACTTCACTCTAGATGCCTTGAAAAGATGGGTGACCTGCAAAATATGCAAATACCATGGCACGACGGAAGCACGACGTCCCAGGTGAACATTTGAGATGAAAACATGTGGGGGCTGATGCAGCAGAGGAAAGTCCGGTGAATCCGGTAAATAACAGAAAATAAACAAGCTAACGCAGATCAAATTTGGGAGCTGAGTTCGTTATCGTGGATGTTAAACATGTTTTTTTTTTTTTGCCGCGTCAGTCTACGGTGTTCTACTTCTGATTGACTAGATGCAATCGTGAATCTCCTCCATGTTGTGTATCATGCGCTTGCCAAATTTAGCACGTCTGTTTATAAGAATGTTCTCGTTAAGAGAAAAACGGCACAAACCCATAACTATGTTCCTCATTCAAAAAAGGACGACTCCGTGGTGAAAAATATACAGACGAGCTGTGTCCAGGTGAATATCACGCGGTATAGTTGTACGCTTTCAATTTTTAAATACAGGAGAAATTCAGAAAGTCATTTTTTTTACTATTAAAAGGCTGTTTTACTGTCTAACGCTGTAAAACGCCTCACAACACATTTTTGTCAAAATAAATGATCACTGTATATTGTTAATTAATTCAAATAATGTAATATTGATTTAGTGTTGTAGTGTGTGTGCTGCTTTATTTTATATGTGTACTTATTTCAGTCTATTTGTGTTTCTTATGCAGAAAAAAACAAGCAACGATGGACAACTACATGGGGAACAAGACACTCACCCTCCAGCAATGCATACCACTTACAAACTCTATTCTAGATTCTACATTATTTTTTATGGAATTTACCTCTTATATTTTGATGCCAAAAAATTACTCTGGACTGATATTTTGCACTGTTTAGCTCATTTTACACCACTGACTGTGTTCATGTGCAATAAAATAGATTGCGGTCAACTGCACAATTCTCTTATGTTTTTCTTTTTCTTAACTGAAATGTATTCATCACTTGTATAGGTTAAATAGCTAAACAATAACAAACCGATTAATCGAAAAAATAATCGACAGATTAATCGATTATGAAAATAATCGTTAGTTGCAGCCCTAGTTTACATGTTTTGGCTGTCATCAGTGCAAGCCCAGTTCACTAGTCTGAAGACTTAACACATCTAGGTAAGACTTGTGAAGAGCAGTATTTAATTCAATTCAATTCAATTCAAGTTTATTTATATAGCGCCAAATCACGACAAGAGTCGTCTCAAGGCACTTCACATAATAAACATTACATCTCGACTTGACTGACGGATGTTTAGAAAAGAGAGCTCGACTCCGTCCGTCCTTGCGGAGCTCTCCAGTAGGCCCGCAAGGATGTTGCGTGTCTCCGCACTGACGCAGTCAGGGAAGCATGAATCAGGCTTAACAAAACAAAGTAGACTCACCTCTTACATCAGGAAGAATCCATGCGTTTCAAGCGTTATCCGTTCTTTCATAATCTGTTGTCAAATTGTGATCAGCAGAAGCTTTTCTGATTCGCGCCTCAGTTTTTTTTTACAGCAACGGCCCAAAACGATCTCCTAACACCTGGATTTTCTACGTCCTGATCACGTGACGTGCGACTTACACAGATGAAGATCGGCTTTAGAGCTGGGATGTTTGTTCACACGGTGCAGGGGCTCGCTCCGACGCCCACACAGTAAAAAAATGCCAATGAGTTAAAGTGACAGAGCCCTGAAAAAAGTGACAAAGCCCTGAAACAACTCATTCTGGAAAGTACTGAAAATGTCAAAAATGAAACTGCTGTAATTGCTTCATGTGAGAGGGATTTTGTGCAAAAAAACTTCATGAACATATACGTTGAATTGACCACTGCACAGAACCATTAGAACGTAAGAAAAAGTCATAATATAACCCCTTAATATTTTAGGCACTTCAGAGATGCATGGTTTCTATATAATTTTGGCTCTATAATTCTTAATGTTTTGACGAACAAATCACGATCTCAAAATGTAGAGAAAAGTTCAGAAGCATAGCAGAAAACAGATGGTCCCAGGAGGAGGCATAAAGGCATTAAAAAAAGCAACATTTGAAAAACAACAGATAAGGGAGGACCATGACAACATAAAAAGTGAAGCTAGGAAGGAAAATGCAAGACTGATAGAAGAAATAAGACAGCTGGAGGAGCATGGGAGGTGGGATATCTGGTTGTGGAAGAACGACCCGTCTAAATGTCATCGCAGCCCGAGGGCAGAGAGGATACATGCTGAATAAGATATGCTGGCAAGAGATTGCAACCGGGCCGGGCCATCCAGGCCACTTGCATCGTCAATGCAGCTGCAACAAGCAGAAAGTCCACAGTTATGTGATGAGAGATCAGCTCCAGACATGAGATGATTGTGTCAATGTGGAGATAAATCTGGATTTTGAATTAAACATGACAAATTATGTTGATTCATATGAAGATTTTTGTATTTTATGTCCAGACAACCAATATTTGACTAAAGCATTAGGAGCCTGATGAGCTTACTGGTGCAAATCAGTCACACACACACACACACACACACACACACACACACACACACACACACACACACACACACACACACACACACACACACACACACACACACACAATACAAAATGCACATCTTACACCATGACTCATTTGAGAAAACTGGAAATCAAACTTTAATGTTTACTGAAAAATTTCCATATTTTCCTTCAGCTTCTAACATCTCTGTGTCCAAACTTGTTCTGCATGACGTCACTTCCCATCTAAACTAATACATCGAGGTGCTTTCACGCCCCCTACAGACTAGACTTTGTTAGTACAACAACTAACAGAACAAATAAAAAAATGTGAAGCAATTTGAACTTTCTAGAAAGAAATCAAATGTTATAGCAAAACTGACGATGTAATGATGTTTCGATTCATTTTTAGATAAATATTTTGTCTTATAAACATTTTTTCTAACCATGTACTTTTGTTATGACTGAGCTTATGCCTATAAATATGTTTTTAACTGCAAAAATGTAATTTACACAAAGTTCCTGCTCTTGTATCTTGTGATTTTTTTATTATACGTTTCATAATTTTAATTTTTCTTCAAACTAGATTTTTTTCCCCTCATAAACAGTATTTAATCATTTGACTGGAAGGTCCACCACATGACAAAGCACTGTCCTGACAGAAAATACTAAACTAACAAATATTTTAAAGATATGAGAATGTTTGAATAAAAATGGCATATAATCACTTTATGATTAGAATATCAATAACCCCTTACATTATATTTTAACCCTTATTTCTTCTAAATTAAAGAAGCATTCAAAAAGACAAGACTTTGGTGCTTTGGCAGATTTGGGACCTTTTCGTGGCTTGTTTTAAATCTTCTGAAGCCCTTTTTGCTGCTCAGTGTGTAAAAAAACAACACAAACGAAGCCTGATTGATTAACTCGGAGTGTGACCTGTTTCCTAAGTAGTCTGATGACTTCTCGGAGTTTTTATTTATCTTTCTGAACACCGACAGAGGTTATGTCAGATGAATAGTCCTATCGTGTGCATGTGCCACTCTCTTAGGGGCCCCTTTATCAGCAGAGTCAGGAGGTGACAGATAACCGCGGTGGGTCATGTTTAATAACAGGCTACGTCTACAAAAGAGCTTATTTTGTTTTCTCTTTTGACAGGAAGCAGCAAAAGTTATTCTGCATGTTTTTCCCCATTGCAGAAACAAATCACAAATTGTGACACGGTCTGTATGAAGTTGTTTCAATGTGAATTTCAGAATAAAACACAACAGAATACAAAAAACAACACCAGTGTGAAATAGTCACCTTTTTAATTTAGAAACAAAACAAACACAAAAAGAGCCAAACTAGAAAAACCTGCATCAGTACCCCTAACTGACCACAGGGGGCGTGTTTCCATCAGCTTAGTTTGCTTTAAATATTGCAACCCTTAGTAAGGTAGTAAACCACCATTAAATGAACAATCACCTCAAAATATAGATTGAAGTCATTGATTAAAACATATTCAAGTGATGTGTCCTTCAAAAGAATATCTACACAATGCAAAAGAGTGAAAAGGCTCATAAAGATGAAAATAGGAGCACGTAAAACATCAAGATCAGTTGTTTTTTTCTGCAGTTACTCTGCTGTACTTAGATCAGATTATAGCAGAAAAAAAAGACGTTCATCTAACACCACCTTAATGCTTCAGTGTATAAAACTGAGTATGTTTCTGTACAGTGAAGAGTATCCAGGCTGCTGGGTAAGATGTGGAGGTGTTTTAAGCATAGAGTGCCTGGTAGCCACTCCTCCGGCTGTTGTTCCTACAGGTTATCACACAGACGCTCAGCATGCCGAAGAACTGAAACAAGAAAAAATTTTAATTAGATATGTTATGATTTTTTTCTTAACTTACAATAGATTTGTGGTCTATGTGACACATATGTATAAAATTCTTTGCACTACATCCCTCTCACATGAAGTGATTTCAGTAGTTTTATTCTTGCCGTTTTCAGTACCTTCCAGAATGAGCAGTTTCATGGCTCTATCACTTTACAAGCTTGAGATGGCCACGCCCATTCATTATCAGCTCAGGCTGCTATAAGAGACGATGCTTATTTCATGATGTGTGATGTCACAAACGGAGGCCTTTTGAAATGACTTGCTTTAGGTACAATTCATGTCTCGTGTCCAGTCTTTTTGAGACTTGAGCACATAGAGGTATTTGAGTCATTTATTTCAAAAAAGGACATATTTGCTTCTTCTTCTTTTTCTTCTTCTTCTTCAACAAGTGAAACTTGGAAAAATGAAAATCTGGTGCAAATGTTCATTTTTACTGTGATTCAACTCAGACTGAGAGACCATCTAAAGGCTCAGGAATCCTTTGCAGATGTTTAGGATTCATTAGTTGATTAAAGTGTGACACTTTGAGCCTAGAATATTTAAACTTTTCACAATATTTTAATGGTCTGATGTTTTGAATTTGGGTTTTTCATAAACTGTAAGCCATAATCATCACTTATAACAAATAAAGGCTTGACATATCGTGTTTTTCACATAATGAGTCTTATATCTTACTTTTACCTTTTAAGTTGGATTATAGAAATACTTTTGCACCATATTCTAAAGTCAGACATGTGAAATTCAAACACTTAGAAGGCAGAATTGTATTTTTAGAAAAGTACATCCTACGTTTCAGTAAGATTTAAAACTCTGGTGTGTTTTCTGCTGCTGGAAGGCGACATTTTCAACCATACCTTGATGATGGCAAAACCAAGAACGACCAGCATGCCGTACGTCAACACATCGTGCAGTGTTTTCTCCAGCTTGTCTTCACATCCCTAAAATACAAACATGACATCACATCTGCATCTATTTTCTGAGGACTAGAAAAATATAAAAAAAATCTGGAGATACATAAATAAAAATTTCTGCCAAAAGAGAGCGACGTGTGTGACGTACTTCTGTATAAATCAGGTCTGGCTGAAATGGAATGCCGGGACATTGTGCTGTTTTATTTTTACAGCAGGATGGAGGTATCGTCTTATTGGTCAAGAACCAGGGAGTGTTGAACCAGCTGGTGTAGTTGTTGACACCGCAGCACATCAACTGGAAAGACAAAGAAGATGTGCGAATTAGAACATTAAAGGGACTTTACGGAGTTTTGAATTTTTATGCTCGCGATTGCCCCCTCAGGGCAAAAGTGTAACGACAGCTTCAATAGCAGGCTCGTGCACGAGGCGCGCATGCTGTACGTGCACACTCCTTAACAAAAATAACAGCTGACAGTCCCTTGTGTGTGCGTGTGTGTGTGTGTGGGGGGGGGGGGGGGGGACAGGAGAACGCGCAGCTAAATAATTTGGTTCTGTACCTTTCTCTTCAGCACAGCCGACAAAGGTTTAAGATGGGTCAGTCCTCCTGCATGCTCAGATCATTCCCTTCCCTTGCTTGAAAAATTGTTCCAAAATGAAAGTTGAACCCACATCTTTTTTATCTGTGAATTCAATACAATTCGGCGAGTCTCAAATAAAAATTTGGGCATCTTACTGTAAAAAAATGTACCATTAATGTAAAAAAGAAACTCTAAATGAACTATGTTCACATCCAGAATCAAACCCAGGTCTTCTGCATGAGAGTCCGACGTCTTACCAAGTGAGCTAAAGCACCAGTGACATCCTTTGTACCTGTAGCATTTATATCCTTGATGACAGCTGAAACAACGTCAAACCAAAGAACGGTTTGGAGCAAAAATGGCTATTTTGTTGCTAATTTGCAGGAAATATCTAGAAGAAAGTTCTACAGAAAGTAGCTAAGGGTCCTCAGAAATGTAGCTAGGTTCGTCACTAGGCGTTAGGAACAGCGACAAAGTGGAACTGCCTCTCTCTCTGCTGCTAAAGCTACGGATAGCAAATGCTACGGGCGATGCCTGAGCGTGAACGCGCATGAAGCAGCCTGCTTTGAGCAGATAAAATCAAGAAGCAGAACACACAAACAAATTATAAATGCTGAGAAGAGTCAAATATGCCTTTATTTTTAATATTTGCTAGCAAATTAAAAATTTATAAGATACATCGATTGTGGTTTTGGGGTATATTATAAATATAGCTGAAAACATGTACATAAAGCCAATAAAGTGTTGAAACACCAGAGGGCATTTTGTTATAGAACTAAATGGGATCACTTGTCATTTAGTTTGGTGCAAAAATATTTCCCATTTTTGTCATTTTGCACAAGTAAAAAGTCATATTTAAATAGAATTTTTTGACAAAATAAAGAAAAACAACTAGAGGAACCTCCAGTTATCCTAACACAAGCATGGAGCCCAAATAGAAAGCCATTCACCATCCGGTTTATTTTTAACTTTTGCACTTTCAGTTGGCTTCTTCTGACAGACTTCTGCACTTTTAACATCAGATTTACCAACATAAACCAATTTATTCACCATTTTATTTACACGTTAGATCAAAAATGTGTTTTGCTATTTTATTTTGACTGTCTGCTACGCTCTGAACAAGAGCAAATCAAATGGACAGATGAAGAATTGCGACGACGATGCAAGCTTAGAGGATGTTGATACACGTGAAAGTAGAACTGAAACACAGACCTATCTATGTCTAACGGATTCAAATCTAACCTCATTCTGCAACAAGTCCACAGCTTGAGACTCAGGGTTGCTTCCATCATACTTTGCAAAGGTATCGTTCATTGAGCGTTCCAGGTCTTGACTAATCTGTAGAGATGAGAACAAAAAAGAAAGCCAGACTGTTTGAAAGCAGCAACAGAAGAAAGACTAAACGTCCAACCGTACATCTGAGTTAGAGCCCGTGTGTTTGGCTTACCTTGCCCTGATATATGAAGCTAAACACCAAAGCAGCAACTTCAGCTGCAAAGATTAGCATGATGATCAGAAAGAACTGCAGAAAGCAGAAAATATTTTAATTTAGAGGTTAATAAATGAGAAAATGGCACACTGCTGGGAAACCAATTAAGCCCTAAAGGTGGCGAGCGATGCATTTAAACCAATAATGCTTGCAGCAGCATTCTCACGTCCTCGTTCACCTGAGGAATACCAAAGAGCAACAAATGCATCACTTCTTCACTTGAACAGAAATCCAGAAACACTCACACAGCTGAGGCCGCCTGTGGATTCGCGGAGCGTGGCGCAGCATCCCACCAGACCGAAGATGAACATAACCACGCTGATGCCGATGATGATGGCTGCTGGGATCAGCGTCTGCTTGTCCTGCAGGAAACTTCCAAAGCTGTCATAGCTCTTGATCATGTAGGACGCCACGTACGCCAACACTCCTCCTGCAGCCTGGAGGGAAGGAAAACATGCTTATAACACACCAACCTGTGCAAATTTAAGACTTAAAGCATATTTAAAGGGACACATTACCCAGGTTTCAAATATAATCACTGTCAAAAGTTTTAGAGCCTACCTCTAAAAACCTCAATTATTTCTGATATGTTTTTCATTTTTAAATTTAGGACATTGTTTTTTAACATGAACACAACCCAATCAGTCATGTGATCATGTTGGCTGCACATGGTGCTGTACATGAACCGTGCGTCAGGTGAAAGGACCAGCTGGTGTGGTGGATGTAACTCAGTAATTGCCGGATGGGTAATCTAACTCTAAAATTACAATGACATTTATAAAATTGTTACTTGGGGCGATGGTGGCACAGGAGTTAAGTGCTCGCCCCGTAATCGGAAGGTTGCAGGTTCGAGCCCCGCTCAGTCTGTCGCTGTCGTTGTGTCCTTGGGCAAGACACTTAACCCACGTTGCCTGCTGGTGGTGGTCGGAGGGACCGGTGGCGCCAGTGCTCGGCAGCCTCGCCTCTGTCAGTGTGCCCCAGGGCAGCTGTGGCTACATTGTAGCTCATCTCCACCAGTGTGTAAATGTGTGTGTGAATGGGTGAATGACTGATTGTGTTGTAAAGCGCCTTGGGGGGTTCCAGGACTCTAGAAGGCGCTATATCAAATACAGGCCATTTACCATTTACTTATAATCACCAGAGGTGTGACCAAGTCACTGCTTTGCAAGTCACAAGTCACACGTCTTTCCCATCAAGTCTCAAGTCAAGTCCAATTCAAAGACAACCAAGTCCAAGTTGAGTCCAAAGTCAATGATGTGGAAGTTCAAGTCATTAACTTTGAATTTTCAAGTCATAATCAAGTCATCTGTCCAACTTCAATTTAATGACAATGATAATAAATAAATTCCAGAAATAAAGCTTCTTAAAGCTTCATTTATTTTCTCAAACAAGCAGGAAGTGAAAGTGCTGCTGCATTCAGCAGAACAAGATCAAACCCAGAACCAACAAAGATTTATGATTTATGTCCAGGTCATGCCACTTTTGTGCTAAAATATCAAATATGCTGAAGTCATCATCAAGTAAATAGATGCATGTCGATTCAAGTCGCAAGTCACTGGCGTTCAAGTCCGAGTCAAATCGTAAGTCTTTATCGATTTTATCAAGTCACGTCAAAAGTCATTAAAATAATGATTCGAGTCTAACTCGAGTCCAAGTCATGTGACTCGAGTCCACACCTCTGCTAATCACACACCATAATAAATCTAAATGATGCACATTTTATCTGTGACTGCAGCTTGCTGTTGGCATCTGTTAGTGACAAGGATCATACTCTCTTTTTCATGACTTAATACGCGGGATGAGAATGTGCTGTCACCTACTAAACAGTTGTGTGCACTGAAGAAGATAAATATGATGTCAAGTATTCATCATTTGATATGATGCTTCTTTTTATTAAACACAAAATGCTTATCAATGTGATAAGGCATAGACCTGCTTTAGACGATAGACAGAAAGACAAAAGGCCAGCTGAGGAGAAGTAGCGAGAGAGAAATATTCCCTCTGATGTGGAATTTGGACTTTGGAATCAGTCTTGCATACACAGCAAGTTTTATTACGCAGTAGGGGAAAAGACGAGACCAACCCCCCCAAAAAAAAGATCGAGGTTTTTCTCGTTTAAAGAGACAGTGTAGTTTTTATGTTTATGTTTATTTATTTGGCAGACGCTTTTATCCAAAGCGACTTACAATTTATAACATGTTGTGATCTGTGGGGAAAACCGGAGTACCCGGAGGAAACCCACGCATGCATGGGGAGAACACGCAACTCCACGCAGAAAGGCCGCAGCCGAGTTTCGACCCTGCGACCTTCGTGCTGCGAGGCAACAGTGCTAACAACTGCACCACCATGCAGCCCAATATAGCCAATGCAGTTTTTAATGTTAATGTCTGGAAATATCCACTGAAACGTTGAAAGTTATTGAAATCTTGTCCAATGTTGGCGGCTTTGTACCATATAGCAATAAAAATAGTAGATGGTATGAAAGTACTCAGAGTCTAGTGCAGGAATGTTCAAACTTTTCAAGACGAGGGCCAAAATCATTAAGTTAACTCCTCACCAGCCACAATTTTTTTTTTAAAGAACGCAAACATTATTTTGGGTTTTACATTTGTTCTGCTCAAAAAGGCCTAAAATAAACGTATTGGTAAAAATTTCAACATAAAATATGATTTTATATCGACAGCCTCCTGGAGAGGCAATTCCACATTTCTAGAAATGCCAGCGAGGGCCACGCAAAATCCCTCCGAGGGCCGCACTTTGGACACACCTGGCCTTGCGTCTTTGGGGACGCCAAATTAGACGCCATATTTCCTTCTGGCTGGCTAGGGGTCCTGCTCACGTTGATGATGTCACACAAGATCAGGGGTATTCAATTCCGGGCCTGGAGGGCCGGTATCCAGCTCGTTTTAGTGGTTTCTCTGCTCCAACACACTAGATTCAGCGGTTGAATCACCTGTGCAGCAGCTCATCAGGCTCTGCAGAAGCCTGTTAATCACCTGCTGATTGAAATCAGGTGGGTTGAAGCAGGGTTAAAACCAAAATGTGATGGATACCGGCCCTCCACGCCCGGAATTGAATAGCCGTGCACGAGACGATTGGCTGGCCGTTAAGCCTTACGGAGGTTTTGTTGCCATGTTCAAAAACATTTATCCAGTAAGAAACCTGAATTTAATAACAAAACTGCTAAATTCTTTCCAAAACATACGTGAAAAATCAGAATCGAAAAAGAGATGCAATATATTTTGGCCAAGTGATATTGCCGTAGTATGATGTCATCAGCAGCCGCAGGACCCCAAGTAGAACAGGAAACTACAGCGCCAGAAAACTATAATCGCCGTTGCATTCTTTTGATGGAATTAACTGAACGACCATCAAAGTCTGAGGAGTCACGCCGAGGTTGCGTGCTTTCTGCTTCACAGGTAAAAACATTTACCGTTACGTTTTTTAAACTAGCGACAGTCACGGCGATATGGTGTAAAAGTACCCTGAAACGTGTACTGCTCTCTATAGCACCAGCAAACTGCACACTGCCACTTTAAAACAAACAAACAAACAAACAAACAAACAAAAAAATGAAATGATCAGTGTCTCTTTCAACCCTTAAAGACTAAAAATATTTTAAAAACAAAATTATATTAATAAATTAATAGAAATTAGTTCAGTTCTAACAATAATTTCCCAGTGTGCCTGCCAGACTCCTCCTCTGTTTAATTCTGCACAGAGAATGACTAAAAGACTACGGTGTCGCGCGGTACAGTCGGCATTTCCACATTTTTTTTGATTGATTATTTCTGAGCTGGTTAGTCCCGCCTCTCATGTGCCTCTCTGCCTTTGAGTAAGCAGATATACTCCGCTCAGTGCTGATTGGCTCGGTTAAAATTCTCAGGGAGTGGGGTTATTAGCATGGGGGAGCTACCAGACTCATTCTCTGTGCAGAATTAAACAGAGGAAGAGTCTGGCAGGCCAGAACCCCGGGTCAGAACCAAACAGGGCTGAAGCTGCTGTTAGCCACAATGCTGCCCATAGATGGAATCAGCTCCTGTACGACCTCAGATGTGCCCCAATTCAAGTAATGTTTAAATCAAATAGAAAACTTTCATATAATCATTAGGCTGGAATATATTTGCTTTGTAATCTCGCGTTGGCACAGGCAGTATCTTTGTTCACGTACTTGCTGCTGTACTGCATGTAGTACTGGAGGTCTCCGCTGGGGGGGGGGGGGGGGGGGGGGGCACATTAGAGTACTCAGACCGGATCGAGAACCAGATTTGTGGGGAACAACCAAAACAAATGAGGCATCAAAAGAAGAGGTCAGTAACTGAATAATACCACTGATAAGAAAAAAAAACAGCAGCGGTATCGTAGATAGTATGAAAGACCTCTAAACCAGAGACGTAATGACCATGGTGAATGTGTCTCACTGGTTACTCGTACATTGCGGTGTTTAAACTCGTGATAATTTTGGGGGACGTGCACAAAGGATGCTTCAAATCACAGCATATTACACGAGGCAGCAATTTTAAACATACATGTCGGCAAACAGCGGGCCTCAGCCTTTCAGTGATCGTTTCCTATGCTGCACCTTCTGCACGATAACTGCTCAGTCTTTAAATCTGCCTTTTTATTTTTATTTCTTACATCTAATTTTATTTGTGTATTTTTAAATGTTTAAATGTTGTTTCTGTTCTGATTTTAATGTTTCCTCTTGCACCTGGAAAGCACGTTGATTTACTTCTGTGTATGAATAAAGCTGCCTTGCCTTGTTCCAACTTTCATCAATGGATATCAACATAAACTCTACAGTTGTAGATTATCAGTCGTTACCATAGCAACAATGTCAAAACATGAAGTGACAACAAAGCTAGGTGTTCAGACACCACAGAGTACAACAGTAATGGAATATAACTTTGCTCAAGTACCATTGTTCTGTATCTGTACTTAAGTAATTTTCTTGAGGTGCAGTTTTTACTTTTACTCATTTTAAAGCAATTATCTGTACTTTCTACTTCCTTTCTAAAGTTTTTAAAAGTAAAAGTACTTTAACTTGCATTTTGTCTGACCCCACCCAATGGAAGTAAGTTTCTTGTAGGGGGTGACTTGCTCTTTAAAGAGCAAGTGAAACTTACTTCACTCCCTCTTCATGTTTGAAAAATTCAACAAATGCTGTTGCTTGGCAGACCGAAAGGGCGGAGCCACTAACAAATACACACACAGGCTCACAATGGCATTATGACATCATAATGTACCAGATGACATCATAGCATACCTTTTAGCCAGTAACGGTGGCAGATTTAAATTCAAATACAGTGCACAATTTTCCCCTGACGACGGCGCAACACTGACAGTTTTAGGCAGAATATTTGAATTTTAACCAAGATGCACTGAAGTGCCAAATTATTGACTACACGTGTCTGCAGCATGATTAGACACACATTTACATAGTTTATCAACAAAAAAAAAAAGTGATTTGGGGGTGACTTGCTCTTTAAACTGGTAACCCCAATATCTGTACTTTTACTTAAGCAAAACATTTAAGTACTTCTTCCACCCCTGGAGTACAAAAGGATTAGCTTCACTTGTGTAATACGATGTGGTGTCATGTGATTAAGCCAGGATGTTGAGGTGGATGATTTTTCTAAAAGTCATTCTTCAACTGTGACATCATCAGTCACAAGACTGCATGCATGGTGCCTCACAAGACGCAGCGTTCCAAACCTTTTCTCATCTCACAAATGCCACCTGTTTATTAAAGCGTTCCGCACTTTTTTATTTTAAATGTTCAAAGTAAACTTTAAATCTGTGAATCTGGAGAAAACAATGGCTGCAGATCTCGTTGTTGGATCTCCTCACTTCCCTTTGCCTTTCCGTAAATGTCTGGTGCCAAAGGAGCTCAAAGAAACGGAAGAAAATCAACTAAACGTCATTTAGCAGCCGAGATGCAGAAGTAAAATCTCTGATTTCTATTTTTTTAAAGAAGCTCAGGCATTTTTCTTCCTTCCTGCTGTATTCCTAAAAGCTGAAGGCTCAGTAAGAGCAACCATGAGGAAGTGTGTGACTAGTCCAGGATGTTTTCAGAAGCAGCTCATGAATGAAATCAAAACTTCCCTCTTGATGTGATCCTAGAGATCAGGACCAAACGTCGAACTTTAACAATACACCGTTTTACTTGCCTTCATTCAAATGGATGTTACGTGTGATTAAACAATACTTCACCCTTGCATTTTAGCCTCATGACTTTCTTCTAATCACAGCTCAGTCACGGGATCCCTTTGGGGTTGTTCTCCTGCACCTCCTCTTACGCCCCCACCCCAACCCCCTAATCTCTCCAGAAAATCTGATCTTGAGCCTGAGAAGCGGCACAAAGAGGCTTAAACAGCACAGCTTCTTTGGAATCTGAGAAAACGTCTCGTGTCACGGTGCTTTGGCTGTGGAGATGCCATCAGTAGGTTCTTGCAGGACCAGCATGGACAACATTCCAGTTAAAGGCTTGTTTAGCTCATCCAGAGGGGGGGAGAAAGTGTAAACAGGTCTAATCATGTGGTTTGAGCCAATAGGCACAGAAATTATGTCTCTGCAGAATTTTCCCCCTCATTTCGATGGACTAAATCTTAATAACGGAACGTTTAAATCCACTTTCATGGGTTTACAAACCGTCACAAAATATAGTCAAACAAATCTGAATTATGACATTATTTGATCACATGTCCACACATGTAATGTTTATAATTTGAAACAAAAGAGAAATAAAAAAAACTCAATCATAATTATAATAACGATAAAAACAGCTAAATCGAACCAGAAAGAGAGGATTTCCCCTTACAGACAGTTTGACTATTTAAAACTCCCAAGATGATTAAATCAATTCAGACGGGCAATGGTGAACTTTTCTTCTTCAAACTGTTGACTAAACAAGAGCGGGTTTGATTACACAACCAAGCTTTGGCTGTTGGGAAAACAAGGGTGGACACAAATGAGGGTGATTTGTTTTTTCCTTCAGAAGTTTGATGGAAAACGAACGACCATTTGTTTTTACTTTTAAAGAAAAGTCATCAGTAAAATAATATTAAAGAAGAAAATGGGGCTCAAATTTAATTAGCAGGCAAGACAAAAAGAGCAAAAAAAAAATTTAACAGAAAAATACCGAGATTGAAAAATGTGAAAAAACTAGAGGAATAAATGAGGTTGTAACAAGTGGTTTAAATAATAAGCATTATTTGTTTGGGTCATTGATTGAAAATGTAATCAGCATTTAGCACATTTAGCTTCACACAGCAATAAAAGTAGGGTGTGCAAAGCTACATGTGGCTAAATGCAACGTCAGACCGCTATAAAATCAAAGTAACCTACCAAAATAAAAGTGGCAAGATCTCCTATATAACATCTGTATTTAAAATAAAACGCTGTGAGGCCATTTAAACTCAGATAAGCTAATAATGTGCACGGAATATCAGAACATTGATAAATATAATTGAACAGACTTTTATAATTAAGTGTTTTATAGGAGATGTGTTTACCATGCTTTTATTTTGGTAGGTTACTTCCAACAGTCTGACTTTTTACAACTGGTGGAGGTTCATAATCAGGTTCAATATATGTTTTATAACTTTATAGATAAAAATGATGAATGTATTAACTTTTGACATTAGCAGGTTTTTTTTTTTTACAATCAGTCTTCCATATATGGTCATGTTTCCTTATGCACAGTGATTTCTCACTCTAGAAAGAAAAGAGAGAGAAAAATGTGATCTTTGAAACAAAATCAGATTTGACCTCTGGTCAGGTGGTGCGTTTAGGCTCAAAAGGATTAATCTGAAACATTAATGCAATGTTTAATCCTCAGGGTTTCCCCTTAATGTGAAAGGAAGAAGCACATCAGTTTGTGTGGTGTACCAGAGCAAAGTAAAATGAGAATGAGGAAGTGCCACAACAGCTTTGAGGCTATTTTTAATGTCACAGTCTTGATTTGTGGGAAAAATGGCCCTCAAAGAGCAAAAAACTTGGCAAAATAAGAACGATCAAAGTCCATATTTAGAAGAATGATATGGTCTAAAATCATATTTTAAGTGGTGGGTTAAAAAAAACAATAATTTCACTCACCCAAAACACCAAGCTGAGGAAGAGCAGGATTGTCTTCGAAGTGAGGATCCCGCAGTCCATGATGTCAATCGGAGAAGAAGAATAGATTTGGAAAATTTTTCTTTTTATCCCCCAGAGCTCAGACCTGCTGCTGCTGCCTCAGTCACAAGTTCTCTCCCCTCTGTCTGACTGCTTTGACTGTGATCACATGGTCACATGACTCCATGAGCAAAGCAGCAGAACAGGTTGCACCACTGACCTCATAAACAACAGAGCTCTGAGGGGGGGAGAAATGCCCCTAATGCTCCATATCATGATTGTATCAAACCCTCACAGAAACACCCCCGGTTCATGTGACTATGTCACTCCTCAGGTCACCATGAACCCATCTGTGCCACATTTAGTGCCAGCTTTGAAAATACAATCCTTTTATTCAAGATTTGGTTTCAGACATTCATTATTGTGTTAATTGATTGTAAAGCGTGAACACAGCTCCTCGTTGTGTTGTGAGACCAAAAGAATAAAAAGTGCATTTTCAAAAAGAAAGAGAAGAGTTCCTCGACACTTTCACTTCGTACTTATTAAAACCTAAAAACTGATAGTTTCAGCTGGTTGTCAGACACCAGCTTTTCAAACCAAAAAACTTCCAATAAATCAAACAAAAGTGGACTTTGACTAGGTTTGAGTTCGTTTTCCAAAAGTTCCAAAGTGGGATTTTTATGGAAATCTAATGATATATTACGATATTAGCTGCTGTAGAAAGCTGTTTGAGCAGCCTCAGTTGGGAAAAACAGACGTTTCTTCCAACCAGACTAATTACCTAACAGCTGAGCTAGCTACAAAGCTTCATAACACAAT